CTCCACTTTCTACGATTCTGTGATAACTGGGCTTGGAGGGGGAGATTACTATTTAATAAGATCTGGAAGTTACGTTGGAGGTTTTACATACAAAATTAAAATAGAGGTAACAAAATCAAAAGCAAAACAGAGTATATTTTACCCTAGCTGCATCCACACTGCAGAAACAATCCAATCTGATACTACTTTAACTGCCATGGTTGAATGATATGGAATTCTGGGATTTGTAGTTTGTTGCGGCACCAGAGCTCTCTGGCAGAGAAGGCTAAATGTCTCAGAGAACTATAATCCCCAGAATTCTATAGTACTGAGCCATGGCAGTTAAAGTGGGGTCAAACTGGATTATTTCTGCAATGAGGCTGCAGCGCTTATGGTGTTACCTGTGGTATTTTATGTGTGAGCCACCTTGGGTCCCTTTCTGAAAGAAAGGCAGTGTATAAATGAAATAAATAAATAATCTCACTATACATTTCTGTTTGAAATATTTCTTCCACCTTTCAACTTTCAACTAAATTACTCAAGATGAAATGTTAAACTTCTTCACCTTGTAATGGTACGCAGTCTGAAATTTTGATGTTTTGACTCTACATTGAAACCCAGCCCTTACTCCTCTGCTACTTGTGATAAAACTACTGAAGTGCACAAAACAAACTAAAGTTAAATATATATAATTCTCTTTAAAGGATGTTTGGGTGTCTGAAACCTTGCAGGTGATGTTACAGTCGGTACTCTGTATCCATGGATTCTTTATCTATGGATTCAACCATCCACAGCTTGAAAATCTTCAAAAAATATAAATTCCAAAAAGCAAACTCTGATTTTGCCATTTTTTTCTAAGGGACACCATTTTACTATACCATTGTATTTAATGGGACTCGATTATTTATGGATTTTGTTATCCATGGTGGGTCCTGGAGCCAAACCCCAGTGGATACCAAGGGCCCAGGGTATTTTGCAACTTCCATTAGTTCCAGCCACCATTGCCAATGGTCCAGGATGATGGGAGGTGCACTCTAACAATATCCAGAAGGTATTGCAGGGCAACCAGATGTCATAACCACAAAGGTGGTTGGAGGGAAAAAACACTAGAAGACAAAGATTATACTCTGGCATTTGGTAGAAAAGAAAAAATGTGTATGAAGCTGTGTTTTATAAGAAAGGCTTATTCCAAAACATCCTCCATTTTGAGATTCCTCCTGGACAGAAGGTTGAAATGGAGGGCATGTCCTGAAAAAGGAGGACATCTGGTCACTCTGGCCACATGCCACTCCACCTCTGCTTTGAAAGGGGGAAAAAACATTGCATCACATCCCAGAGTTCGGGAAAATTACTTTTTTTGGGACTGCAGCTCCCAGTATTCCCCAACCAGCATACCTAGTGGGCAGGTTGGCTGGGGATGATGGGATCTGTTGTCCAAGAAAGTTCTCCAAGGTCTGAACTGTTCATTCTCTGTCTTGGTGCATACCTGTTGGAGTCTCCATTCTGAGGTTCGTCCATGAGACTCTGGCAGCCTTTTTCACACTTTTCCAGGGCAGCTGAGAAATCCCTGTGCATCACCAGGAGATCAGAAGCATCCTCCAGGAAAGAGGCAGGGAAGGAGGACATCGGGGAAAGAGAAAGGGGCTCGCTGCTTCTCAGGAGACCCCCAGACCCACCGATTGCAGCCAGGGCTGCCGAGAAATCACTCCTCATCATGGCTGGATTGGGATCTTGTCTTTGACCTGGGAACAAAAAAATCCAGTCCCTGACTTCACCATGCACTTCAACATTGCAAAGAAAACTGCATCCTTATTTTTCATCTATGAATTCACAACCCTCCAGGGTGACAAGATGCCTTCACCGCAAAGGAAGACAAGGGTCCAAAACACACTGCAGAAATAATCCAGTTTGAGACTGCTTTAACTGCCCTGGCTCAGTGCTAGGGAATCCTGGGAATTCTAGTTTATTGTGGCACCAGAGCTCTCAGACAGAGAAGGCTCAATGATCTCACAAAAATACAATTTGCAGAAAGCAGTCTCAAACTGGATTACTTCTGCAGCGTGTTTTGGACCAAGGTCCTACAAAATGTACGACATTCTGGTGTAATGTAGGGCATTACAAAACAAAAGCTAGACACCCATCTAAATAGAAATCCATGTTTCTTAGTTGTGCTCCAAATGGAGGACCTTTTGGAATCCCTCCTGGACAGAAGGCTGAAATGTAAGACGTGTCCTCCAAAAGGAGGACGGATGGTCACCCTGCAACCCTCTCTGCCCTCTGCATTGAGACCCCAGGGAGAAAGAATGAGAAAAGGAAGGAAGAGAGGAAAATAAAATCATCATCATCATCATCATCATCATCATCATCATCATAATCTAGCATTTCAATAAAAATGTCCCTTAACTTCTTTCCCTAGGAGAA